TAGTCGGTCTAATTCTTTGTCGACTTTATCAATAGCTGCATATGGAACTTGACGCTTTGGACGGAAAACAGGCTTTACATCCTGTCGTAGGTATAATTTTGCCTTCTCAATTGTGCAGCATCCCAATTTATTCTGGAACAAGTTTTTATGTTTCTGCAAAAGATCTTCTATCGTTACAACTTTCTTGGTAACATGAACTGTGGGTGGATCTCTAGGATTATTCGTGCTTTTCACTGTGCATATTTCATTTAATGGTACATCCCATAAATTCAGTTTATCTATCCAGTCTATACCAATAAGGTCTAACTCATGTCTGTTCGTTAAGTAACAATTTCCTGTAAAGTAATTACCTTGGAATTTAACAGAACATTTTATCATTCCCACAAGTTTTAATATATCTCCGGACGCATTCCGTGCAGTGTGCTCTGTTGGTAATACTTTCGGACACCCAATTAAATACCACGTTCGTTTCGAGATTAGTGTGATATCTGACGCTGTGTCCAATTGCAATCGAATATGAACACCATTAACAATTAATTCCACATATCTTCTTTTATCCGCTACGCTTAGAGCCAATGTAGAATATACGCTGTTTATATACTTATTTTGGTACTGATGCGGACGTCTGGTTCGTTTTGATCTCAAACTTTCTCTAGTTCGGCAGACTATCTCTTTGTGGTCAACTTTATTGCATATAGTGCATCTATGATTTCTAAACCGGAAAAATCTTGAGAAATGCCACGCACCACAATACCAACATTTAGTTGCAGGTTTAGGAGTTTTCGAGTAATATTTATGACTTTTGGTAGTATTTTGTCTTTGACCTGTTTTAACAGCATGAACAGAATTAGATGGTGCAGCACTTTTGGTTTCCAGCATAGCTGTATCTTGTTTTAAGTTAATTAATCGTTGGCATTCAGTGGTGATAGTTTGTAACGTCATTTCATCATCATGTTCCATACGAGATAACAACTTCATGCGAAAATCAGCATCAACAGGAGAGTTCAGACCAGAAATAAATAATAAGCATTTAAATTGATCACTGGTTAACACATTTAATTTAAATCGTTCTGCTTGTAAATTTACTCTTCCGGCGTACGTAGTATAATCCTCATCAGCCTCTTTAGTCAGCTGTAGACAGTTATACCGGATACGGAATAAAGACGACTGTTCACAAAACATTTTATTTAGGATGTTAACAGTTTCATCGAAATTAACTTCTCGCGGATGTCTAGGCAGGATATGGTTTTTATACTTTTGATGCTCATTAGGACCAAGTTTCTGTAATAGCAGACGGACTTTCTTTGCGTCATCTATCGCAGCAAATTCAACTCGGAAAATATCTTCAATTCTGCCAAACCATGCTTCGAAAGTGCGACCATTGTCTGCATCAAATATAAATTCTGAAACTGGATTAAGGTATGACTCGATACTTTTATGTTCTGGAATCTCTTGTTGGATAGATAGTTTTCCCAAAAGTGCTTCCAATAGTTTTTGTTGCGAAGCTAACATTTGATGCTGCTGCTGTATTAATAACTGCAACTGTTCTGAAGAATTTGCCATTTTTCTTCTCACTGCTAATAATAATATTAATTCCAAACAAATCACCGGCAATTATAACCGCTAATTTATTTTCAAAATGAGTCACCACCTGTATTTTTTTTCCAAAATCCCCGTCGCCAATTGTTATGACCTTGAGTATGTCTGGTTCTGCTATCACGCGACCTATCTACCAATCCGGAGACGACTTATACGAATTTTACACTAGGCCAACCAATGACGTTCAACCGGTGTGGGCAGTCTAGCGTCCTTATTGGTCCTATGTACTACGAGCCCTTCCACTTGAGTCCAGAACACAATACCAGCTTCGAATTAGAGCAGATCGTTTATTTCAAACATACTCGGTTTATATATCAAACAGACAGACCACAACACACCATAAATTAGAAAATAACATATGTACACAAATAAGCCAAAAGTGGCTGTGAACGCGGGAGATAGTAATTAATAGACTGAACATAGATAAAGAACCGTAAATCGTAGAATAATAAATTATAGATCAAAATAAAGCTTATAATAAGAGGGATATAAATTTACATAATCTAATTATTCAATAGTTTTACAATAAGAATATTTATAGAATATTTGTCCATTAATAGACCTCGGGAGTTACCTGTAATTTAATCTTCGCTCGGATATAACAGTTAGCGTTTTTTTAGCGAGTTAGCTTTCTACGGGATGGGGACGCTAACCCCATGCCCAACCCTCCTCCTTTATCCGGGCTTGGGACCGGCAGTAGCCCCTGTAGGGACTCCAGGCGGAGTGACTATATCTTTGGAAAGTCTTGATATCGATGTTTGTTGTCTATCCGAGACGCGTATTCAAGACTCTGGTGAAGTACTACGAATTCGCCCTCCATCTGTTGCTTCAAAAAGCTCGTTTTACGTGCGTTTATCCGGGGACCCTGTGGCATCTTCGTCTGGTCCTGCCGGTGTTGGTGTCACACTAAGCGCTAGAGCTGAGGCAGCACTATTCGATTGTATCTTCATTAACAATCGGTTATTTGCTGTTAGATTAAAAAGTTCCATCAAAGTGAGGAGAAATCGGCGTGAGAAACGATGTCTTTTCGTCATCTCCGCCTATGCCCCGACAGATTGCAGCTCGGATACAATCAAGGATGAATTCTACCACCAGTTAACTGTTCTCCAGAAAGTGCGTTCGACAGATATTGTAGTACTGACCGGAGACTTGAATTTTCAGGTCGGGCATCTAGGCACAGAAGAGAATCGTTTAGGTGGTCGATGGGGACTTGTTGGTCGCAGGACACATAATGGAACCGTCTATTGCAACTATGGACAGACCACAACCTGTTTCTAGCTAGAGTGTTCCAAAGTCTTAGAATGAATCGATAGTTGTCCCTATCTCTAAAAAAGGTTTGCGTCGCTCCCGCAACCATCATGGGGAGTAAGTCTACTTCCGATTGTGTCCAAACTACTGGCTTCCGTCATACTTCGTAGGTTATTGAAAACCCGAGAAAGATTGACTCGCGAGGAGCAGGCTGGTTTTCGTTCCAGTCGAGGGTTTACTGATCATATCTTCACCCTACGCCAAATGTTAGAACACCACCATACTTATCACCGGCCAACAATCGTAGTGTTTCTTGACATCAGGACTGCCCTCGATTCGTTGGACAGGACTGTTCCCTGAGGTTGTCTGTTGAAGAAGGGCGTGCCTATGAATTTTAATGACAACCACCTCAGGCAGAGTGAAGGCATCCAACCACCTGACTCAATTGCTCCGTTCAACCGACGGGGCTAGACAGGGTTGCCCAATCTCACCATTCCTCTTCAACTTTGCCATCGACGACATTCTGGAAACAGCTCTGATGGGTGTAAGTAATGGCGGTGTGGATCTGTTGTCTGGAGAAAGACTTCTCGACCTTGAGTATGCGGATGATATTGTCTTAGTGTACGATAATGCCCAAGACATACAACCCGCACTTAATCAGTTGGTAATCAGTGTCCGTAGGTATGGTATGTGCTTTACACACCTTCGAAGTGCAAAGTACTTCTACAAGACTGGCAGGATTCTAATCCTGTACTCACCCTGGGTGGTGAGCAGATAGGAGTAGTTGAGAAGTTCGTGTATCTAGGTAGCTGCATAAATGCTGGTGGTGGCGTGAGTGATGAGATCGATGCACGTATAGTGAAAGCCAGAGTGGCTTATGCCAATCTGGGTCATCTTTGACGCTTTCGTGATGTTAGTTTGACTGTGAAAGGTCGGATCTATAATGCGTCGGTGAGAGCAGTTTTGCTCTATGCTTGTGAAACCTGACCTCTTCGAGTTGAGGATGCTAGACGACTCTTTGTGTTCGATCATCATTGTCTCCGAATGATTACCGATGTCCAGTGGCAACACCATGTTAGTAATGCAGAGTTTCGGCATAGTGTGTTCGGGCGCAGAGACAATAATGCAATTGGTGTCACCATCTTGAAACATCGACTTTGGTGGCTTGGACATGTTCTACGAATGTCGTCTCATAGAATTCCACGTCGTGTATTATTTTCCGGTGATGGGACTGGTTGGGAAGAGTGTGTGGTGGTCGGTATCCGCTATAATCCTAAACTTTGTATCTAATTCGTCTTGCCAACCGTTCCTTATAACGCCCCAACGGTATATTAATCAGAAGGCAAATACGAAGTGTTGATTACGTTTATTGCGAGACCACACACGTATATCCAAATGTACAGATGCGTTAAATAAGCATAGAAGAGTTGTGCCGAAAGGCAAGCAAGCGAGAGAGAGCCAGAGCAAGAGCGTGTGAGTGAGTGAGTGTTGGATATGAATAACATGGACATATATATACCATGTGAAATGAATGAGTAATCGAATTGAATAAGCGGTTAGTAGTAAGACTAGCAGAGTGAATAAATGCGTAGGCAGTAAGCAATATTCAAGCATACGTATTTCATACAAGCACAAAATAATAAGGGTACAATAAATTGTTATAGTACGGATGACTTTGTCCGCTAAATAAGTTAGCAAAAGGGCTTAACTGAGTTAAATGAGAATAAACCTATTTGCACGTGAGTCGCTATAAGTGGAGCGGTGGTCAGTAATATGACATAGTGTTGAGGTATAAAAGAATGTTGTGCATGACTGGCTTTTGTTGGACCTTCACAACTTCCTAATTGAGGTCCTAGAGATGGTGCAACACAGTGGCTAGAGACGTTATCATATATGGCTCAGAATAGATGCTGGTGGAGTTCCTGATGCAACCTTTTACTTTCTTCATAAAGATGGTTGTTTCTTCCTTAAGTGAAAGATTTCTTCTGATTGTACCTTTCCGTTTTCCACATTATTATTATTATTATTATTTTTATTTTTATTATTATTAATATTATTAATATTATTATTATTAGTACACTACCTGACACTAATCTGTTCGTTGGTGTTCTTTTTTTACGCTTCTTACCTTGTTTTTTTCTCTTCGAATTCTCATTGTTTTTTGTGGCGCATATGTTTTTGGTGCCCTCTAGTACCAATATTTATGTGTTCAAATAAATAAATATTAATACTTTACGATCTATAAAGTTGTTGTGTGGTGATCCACTATTCATAAGCTTTTTGCTTGTATCTCCAAATCACTTTTTTGTTTCAAATTGTAAGCGATTCGGACTAATCGATTCTTGAATAGTTTTGATAGGGACCTATTCTAATTGAGAAGTTAAAACTATGAACACTATTTTTTACATCTTTTCTTATATTACCAATCAATCGTCCAACTGATTTCTTTATATATTTTTCTAGGCTTCACAGTATAACAACAAACTGCAACCACGTTATTTAAGTCAAGCGCATGAGTCAATCGGACGTCGTTTAACATCACCTCCTACACGAAGTATGTGGTCAACCGTTGGTGGTGCTGGTGTCCGTTCAAAACCCAGCGCAGAAAATTTCGGTGGAATAAAACACAGTACACCAAATTACACTCTTGGTTCATCGACGAATCCTCCTGTAAAACAAATAGGTGTTAGTCCTTTCCAGTCGCCGGGTGATTCTAGTTATCATCGAACACCTTTGCATAATGTTGTAAATAATCGCCCACCTTTAGTTGGGTCACCACTCCATAATAACAGTATTCTTGCAAATATAAACGATGGGAATAAGAAGCAAGATGGTATTAGTACACCTGATCGTTTAGCGGAGGCTTTGCTTTCACATCGAAGGTAACCCATTTCTCCAAATATTTACTTTACTCGTTCACTTGGGCACACTTATTCAAATGAGCTTTGTGGGTAACATGCTACACTAAAGTAATGGAAGTGATCCTGGTTATGAAAAGTTAATAACAGTTTAACTTTATTTCCAAGTAATTTATATGAGCTCAAATAAATGTCGCCCTGATCAGATTCTCACTTTTCATGCCATAAAATGTAAACGGGTGGCATATTCCTTGATTTGCAGTTAAAAATATATTATTATTCAGAAGGTCTTGTCAGTACTTGTTATTGTCAGGTTTAAACTATAGCATATCCGAAAACCTTCAGACATCGAAAATCCTCTTTGCTTTTTGTCTGTTACTATTAGTTTGCACCATGAACCACAACCATGTACATGTTTATTCGATTATGTCGAGTATCTTTATGAAGTTAATTTTCCCCCTGTTAATTATCCATCAAAATAAGCTAATGAAATAGTCTCACAAAGCAGAATCTACTAATTAATTGATATAAACCTATACCTAATTATTTTACAAGGAGTCAATCTGTTGTCATTCTCTTGTTGGTCCATTTCGTTTACTTGTGACATCTATCTGCTCTCCAAGTATTGAGTATTCTGCTTAAAATTTTCCTTTTTAGATTGTGTGTAAAGTCCACTGTTGATCTTTAATAGTCTTTATATGAACTGTAATCTATCTCGTTAATTTTGTAGATTCAATCATAAATGATTACATTTCGACAAGTAAATCAATATGCGCCTATTATGATGTTTAGTGGCCAATTACTTAGTGGCCATATACTTAACTGCTTCATTTTCCATAAACTTTCTAGTTGATTACAATACAAATAAAATGTGTAATGTAACAATGAGTTCGAAAAGATAACATTGTCACCATTCATTACAATAATTGAAGATTGACCTAATCTGTTTAGGAAACTTAATGTATACATGAATGATTTCTAAGTAAGCATTGCTAACTGTTATTCATTTAACCTTATTATTCTTTCCTATTTGTTTTTTCATGCTTATTAGTTCCAACGACTTTGATAATGCGAATCCACATGATTGTTGGGTAACTGTTTTCGGGTATGTGTGTTGACTATTTTATGTATCCTTCGCTATGTTAACATTATTACAGTACACATTTAAGGTTACTTATGCCAAGTGTAGTAATAAAGGCACTTTAAATGTGAATATTATTATTAACTCATCTCCAGGTATCGATTCATGTACTTGACTTCGAGCCATGCTTCAATTGTAAAGGTTGATAATACTCTCCGGCTACCTAAACCGAAGTAGCTAAATCGAGGTTCAAACCTAGGGATGTGTTAATCCCTAATTTGGCCGTAGGAAGTGAAGTTGTTTATTTTACCAAGAAAATTTTATTTATAGCAGCTTGCTGACCTACGAAATCCCATCACTCTCAAAAAGGTTCATATACCTTTTGCTAACTCGAACTGTTTGTTGCATAGTTAAGAAATCCATCTACTTATCAACAAGCAAAAATGCTATGCAACAGTTTTTTCCGTATTGTTTTGGGACTGCAAAATAGCTTTAATTATTTCGAAATTGTATGGCTTGGTCGTATTTAATCAGAAGAATTTTCGAAGGATTGCTCGTATGTGGTAAGTAAGCAGCTCGTAGGTTAAACATGGGCTATTAGTTAGAGATGGTGCATTAAGAAACCTTATCACCTAGTTAGTTGAACATATTTTATGTACACCCAACCACTTATCTCAATGCACGCTGTTGTGTGGAGTGGTAATAGGTTGGAAGAAAACAAGAGGCAGCTAAACCAAGATGTGGTATAATTCCATGGAGTCGTCAACCACTGAACTGAATTATGTTGGTAGATGCAGATTACCTGATTAGGGTCCGCGCGTTAAACGTTGTCAATGTTTTGAGGGGTTGGGTGACATGGCTCAGAATTAGTTGGAGTGGTTTAGATGCATTTATTCTTTGGTGTTCATTTTGATAACTCTAACTTATTCTGTTAGCGTAGTATGAGAACTTAAACTGACACAGTTTTATGCCAGGTTCTACGTAGTTTGTGATTGACTGACTGAAATGGTAGATGAATAAATTTAAGCAATAAAATGTAACTTATCGTAGGCTATTTCGCATTTAGTAGGTTATGATTTATGATCTGCTTTATGTCTAAACTTCAAAAAAGTTTTCTTCTATCTTATCACGACCTAAATTTAGGTTCCCTCCATCACGAGCTGCATTTATTCTTAACCAGTTCGCTCAACTGGGTACCTGCTGTATCTTCATTTGACTCCCTTCATAAAAACTTACGTTACTTCTTCAACTGGAAGAATTCTTTCTGGTTCTTCTTTTTCTAACTGAGCTGCTTCTCCTATTATTATTATTTCTCTCTCATACACTAATATCTGTTCGTTGTTTTCCTTTTTTTTCTTATACGCACCTTACATTCTCTGTTTCTTTAAATTCTCAATGTTATTATGTGGCGCATATATATTTAGTATCCCTTTGTACCAATATGCATGTAACAAATAAATAATGTGCCTAACGACGTCTCCCAAGTCTTTGCGCATTTTGACAGCAGATAGCTCATTGTTATTCACTGTGTATATATTTGCACCTTGGTTACCGATATGAATCATAATGCACTTAAAATATTTATCGGCTACTACCAAATTCTAAACCACTGAGATATTTCTTGCAGTTCTCTTTGAAGCTCTGAACTATCGCCTTCATTTTTGTCGCTTTCCATATCTCGAGACCGTCAGTATATAAGAAAACTGTTGATTGTAGGATATTAAGAAGATAATTTACACTCAGGAAGAAAAGTACAGGTTCTAAAACTGTTTTTAGGAGTATTCCGCCAAGCATAGCTTCCCAACTAGACAACTTTAAGTTTTATCGTATCCTTTTTGACGCCTAACTTGGAAGTCCTTTGTTTATGAAAGCATGTTGTTTCGAACTTTGTCAAAATCCTTACCGACTCCGCTCTATGCTACATCTGTTGATAGCTTTCAATCTCTTAGAGCACGCAAACTTTCACTAAATACCAATAAATTTGTGAGACACGAATAACCTGTTCTCAAGCCATGCTGTTTTTCAGAAAAGATCTTATTTTTGTCTAGATACTTAAACAATTACTCGATATTTTTTTTCTAAAATTATTACCACCGCAAGGTTAAGCTTGAGGGCCGACAATTCTCAGGTTTGTCTCTACTACCGGTTTTGAAGATAGGATTATTCATAATGAACTCTTATAATTTGTTAACAAGCTTTAGTATCATATATATTCTTCAATGAAATCGAGCTCCAAACACCAGCAATTGTGGCTGTTAATCCGCGTAAAAACACATTGGCTAGTTTTGTAGGTGAGGACAGGATAGTTATCTGGATGTAATTCTTTCTTTTGTTTCTTTAATTACCATTTCCTTCCATATTAAACCATGGATTTGTAACAGCATAGCTTGGTTGGTTAAGAGTTGACCTCAAACAACCAAGCATATGCCAAAACAGTATTGTTCAAGTATTATTATTATTATTATTATTCACAAACATCTTATGGGTACATAAGTGTTGTGAAGAAACCATTTCGGGTTTCTTCAGAAAATGCAATAATACACAATTTTCAATAATGTTAGCATTATACTTGCCATATTTAAAAAATAAAATAAAATATTTAAAGAAAAAATTTAGAATAATAATAGTAGAATATTAAAAATAATAAATCGGGTATGTGTAATTGAGAAGAATATTGAATTGAGTTTAAAGAAGGAAATGGAGAAAATAAGGGAATAGAAATAAAGGAGACGTGAAATAAGCAAACAGTCTAATAGGCGTGTTTATGAACAGAGAAGAAGAAAAAACGACCATGTGTGTATCGTTAAATTAGTAACAAAAAATAATTTATCATTGTAGTAAGATATGACGCTAGAATAAATGTTTGTGCAGTTATAGTTTAGTGTGATGCTATGAAAGTCACAATTAAGTGAAAAGGATAATAAAATATCACTCTGTATGAGTCATATATGCATAGTGAAGATAAAACGAATCTGAGAAGTTAATTTAAAGTGTAACACAAGTTATTGTCTTAATTACACACTTCTTAATCTCAAGAATAAGATTTATTTAGAAGGGAAGAAGAGAGAGAAAAGAAGTGAACACCTAGTGAAAAGGTTCATCCATGATAAGAATAATAATTGTGTAATGAATATTAACCTCAGAAGGAAACCAGCAATTGAAAAAAAAATTAAAAAAAAAATAAAAATCCTTTAAAGCACTCGATAGAAAACATTTAGATTTATGTAATAGTATACAGAATGAAACCGGATATTAGTATAAATATTTGTGCAATAATAATTAAGATTGATGATATGAAAGTCAAAATGATTTCAAAGGACAATCTGGAGTTAAATATGTTTAGAAGGATAAGAAGAGATAAAGAGAATATCTAATGTGTTGGGGAATTAATAATGATATTAATAACGGTAATAATGATAAACACGAACATAAGCAGACTTCATATATTAAGATAAAGAGAAATAAAATAAAATAGACATGAAAAGATTTAAAGGTTTTATTTTGCTTTTCAAGCAATTAAATAGATGATGGACCTTGTTTGTATAAATCATTATTGAATACATTGATATTCAATAGGTGACATAATTCACTTCCTTATTTTGTATAATCATTATATTCCCTATTATCTTATATTGAATGTTGAAAGCCTTTGTTTGCCTGAACAGATAATCCCACGCTCCACTGTGACTGCGCTGAGATCGAAATAAAGACCTATTCACTACTTGTCTGGTTTCTTCTACCAATAGCACGAGGGTTACCTATAGGCACAAAACTGGTGAGCCCCTTTGAACACAAATTTAACCTCATTTTTGTTATTAATATTATTTTTTTACTCAATCGTAAAAGTAGACCTGATTATCCGTAAACTAAGTTGCGTATATAAATAGTTTATTTTTTTATTATCTTCAGTTATTCGTGTTATAGAAACCATTTTTTTGTGCTAATTTTATTGCTATATTTGTCATATACCTCATGTCAGACTCATCAGGAACCCATAATCTGGATGATTTGTCACCAGTGGAGATAGACACTGTTATGACTACGAAATCTCGACTTCCAGAATTCACGAGACACAATATCAAATCTGAAGGGATTCGCTATAGAGACTTGTGTTCTATCCTTCCTCCTTCAGTTGCCAAAGAAGTCTGTGACTTGGTTTTAAGTCCACCATCACCACAACTATACACCATTTTAAGGCGAGAGATAATGAACCGTTCATCATTATCAGACTGTCAGAGAATCCAAAGACTTTTCTAAGGATAAACATTAGGTGATAGGTCACCGTCACAGTTTTACGTCACCTCCAAGTCTTAGTGAGCGATAACAAAGTGGGTGAAGCAGTCCTAAAACAAGGATGGATACAAGCTCTCCCATGCTACGTCCAGCACTGTTTGGATGCACAAGACCCTGAAAACTCATTATCTCATTTGGCGCGTATAGCTGATAGAATAATGGAAAGAGGTGCTCCAACTGGATCAGGCGCAATAAATCACACACAAAAAGTAGAATCAGCAAAAGACCCCGTCATAGAAGGACTCATTGCGAGTATTAAGAGTCTCACTGAGGCTGTCACCAGAATGCGAATGGGTCATACAAACAGGAGCAGGTCACCACAACGACCACAATCCAAGTCCCAAAACAGGTCACAAATGTCCAGAAAATCTGGGCAGTTTTGTTGGTACCACTAGAAGTTTGGTGTCAACTCAACCAAGTGCATGCAACCATGCGCCTGGCCTAAGCATAATTCCAAGACAGCGGGAAACGAGTAACCCTACCCCAGGTCGCGACAACTGAGGAGGGGCGCCGAAACAGTCGCTGGTTTTATGTTAGAGACAGAAACTCCGGCTTGATTTTCTTGGTGGATACTGGCGCTGCTCTTAGCAGCATCCCTCGAAATAAAACTGAAATTAGTCGAGACACATCCCCGATTACATTTCAAGCTGCAAATAAAACTACAATCGCGACGTTTGGGCAGAAAACGTTAACCCTAGATTTGGGGTTCAGAAGGCAATTCCATTAAGTTTTCACGGTATTCGACTTAGATCTGGCAATACTGTGGGATGGATTTTCTAGAGAGATAAGAATTTCTAGTTGACACCAAGAAACGGCGCTTAACACTAAGAGAAACTTCGTATTACACAAAAGGCAAAGAAAGCCACGTCAGATCTCTTAACTTGATTCAAACTCCTCCAATAACAACAGCTAAATTCCAAGATATACTCGCGGAGTTTCCAAACTTAACTAGACTAAACCCAAAGCCTTCCAAAGACAAACTGAAAGTAAGTCACACTATCAAAACCGAAGGTGCACCGGTATTTGCAAAGCCCAGGAGACTAGCACCAGGTAAGCTCAAAATAGCTAGGGCCAAGTTTGATTATATGCTACAATTGGGTATTATCCGTCCCTCTGATGGTCCCAAAGAAGAATGAAGGTGACTGGCGACCGTGCGGGGATTACAGAGCCCTTAACCGTCAAACCGTACCAGATAGGTACCCAATACCGCATATCCAGGATTTCACAAACGGTTTACAGGGTATGAACATATTCACTAAAATTGACTTAATCAGGGCATAACACAATATCCCAGTGGCTGATGAAGATATCCCCAAGACAGCTATTACTACACCCTTTGGCTTATTTGAGTTTGTACGCATGCCATTCGGTCTGAGAAACACGGCAATTCCTCAGATATTCTTATTCAACAGTTTCACACTCTTTCTCTTGAAAGCACACAGCAAACCATCAGCGATAGTTGTAGAAGAAATCACATGCTACAAAATAAGATGACAAGATATTAAATGAATAGACATCCATGGACTATCGTTGACAGCTGACAGCGTTAGTTGCCACTGATTGTAAGTCAAACATTGAGCGAGTTGATAATTTTCCCTTGGGATGAGAAATAGAACTAAGGTGTTTTTGATAGATAGGTTAATCGAACCAACATTCCTACAGAAGTCGATTCTAGGGGGAAGCTACTGTAACAGCATAGGTTGGTTGGTTAAGAGTTGACCTCAAACAACCAAGCATATGCCAAAACAGTATTGTTCAAGTATTCATTCACTTCCTTATTTTGTATAATCATTATATTCCCTATTATCTTATATTGAATGTTGAAAGCCTTTGTTTGCCTGAACAGATAATCCCACGCTCCACTGTGACTGCGCTGAGATCGAAATAAAGACCTATTCACCACTTATCTGGTTTCTTCTATCATTAGCACGAGGATTACCTATAGGCACGAAAGATTATCCCCTAATATATTTTCTTCCAACCACTGCATGTCGATTTTCCAGTCTTTGAGTTCCATCGCCAAATAACGAAGACAATACTTCACAAACTTACGATTTTCCATACAGTGATAGCTACGTATCTGTCTGGGCTCTTGGATTTATACTAAATCAGCCGAACGACAAGGCCGATCATTCAAAGCTCAAAATTTGGCCACAACATCTCATGAGTTTTTCAATGTTTTATTTGTCTTACCCTGAAATTTTTTTATACCCTCTCATATCTTTTGATTTGCTATTAGTCCTTACTTCTTTAAACCATTAGTCATTTTCATAGCGGTGTGAAATACTATATGGACATCTAACCCACAAAACAGACTTTTCAACTATCTGATTTGCTTAACATCACAAAAGGAGGGAGGGTGGCGTTACTGACCAGCAAACATGATGGTGGTGAGATAAATTCAATCCACCCATGTTTGTAGGGCAGAACATTTTGTTTAATTACGGCTCCTTATGGTTTAGTAGGATGTCACGAACTTATGGTATTGATGCTGACTCATCACGCTAAATACCTCTTTAAATCGTGTTACGAACGTTGAATTGGTTTCACTTCCTACCCAAAAATCCTATTACAAGCAAACTAGACAATTCGCTAATATATGAAGCCTACTCAGGACCCTATAATAACTGGAAAAAAATATAAAAAAACGAAAGGGGCTCTAATAGCTTCGATAATAAAAGGAAGACAGCCAATTGTATATCACAATACTGTTTCTAGCACTATATTTTATTTTATAATCACACATGATCTTATACTCTCAGCTCTTTTCCGAATCGCCTCCATTTGTCAGCTGTATGTCCACTCACACCTTGTTAACGCTTATTTTCTTTAACCTATTAAAATGCTCTTTCTTAAAAAATACCCTGATAAAAGAAAATTAGACTGAGTAATCATACCTCAAATATTCCTTCATGAATATTGGCTAATCTGCCTCTCGTGTTTTCTTTTACTTGCTTCCTCTTTCAGCCTCCTTGAGATATGGAACGGGTGACTTCATCCTGCACCATCCTTAAAGCCTTGGATATCCCAAAGGGACATAAGGTTGCGATTTCTAGAAGCTCATACCTTCAATGAACCTATCCTCGACCATCAGTCGCACATTCGCAACGCAACTTTCATGAAGCGCGCCAATTGTAGTACTGATTAAAACCATCTACATTCATATCTTATAAATTATCAACCCAGCTATGTAATTCACTACAGTGTATATTGTATCATTTGTATCAATTTGATCTTGCCTGTAAACTGGCATGCCTCATGTAACAAACTGTTATTTGAGAATAAATTATTATTATTATTAGGTCAACAGCATCGCGCACATGGAGTTAGTAACAATTCTGCATGCTTAAGTTGGTTCCTTTTCGATTTACGCAGTGTCACGGTTGACTTTATATACATCAAATTTATCAGATGATCTACATTTTGAAACTAATCCAGGCGAGTTTTATTATTTTGTGGGGTGATTTGCCATTTTTTGGCTTTTCATAACATGTATACGCTTTCACTTAGACTGGTGATATATATTTCATATGAACCATTTCCCGAAACCGTTTTCTGCAAAAATTATATTATTCAGCTTCAAGCGACAACATACCACTATGAGAAAGTGTGTTGTTCGTAGGAGAATCTTATTATATCCAAAACTAATTCGACACTTCTTAGTTCTGGCTATCATTTTTACATATTTATGAATGTTGCTAACTACAGAAACCACTTAGGAAAACTCCCGATTATACCTTCCATGTTCTTAACAGTTGTTCCGTAGGTCACGTCTCAACTTCAAAATTTTTTCTTGTTGTTATATTCTTCAGCAGAGTACATATCAACGTGGCTTGTGCACGGTGTTCTTGTCTCATGAGCTAAATAAAGACCTGTCTACTACTAGTCTGGTTTCTCTTATCAATAGAACGAAATGAACCTGTGGTTACGAAAGTGATGAGCCCTGTATTGAACATAAATTTAATTTCTGTTTTAATTATTACTATTATTCATTTTAGTCAGTCGTAAAAGTAGGCCTTCTGATTATCCTTAACTAAATTTTGGTCTATATATTTATACATAATTTTTTATCGCAAGGTATTCGTGTCGTAGTCATTATTTTAAGCCGTTCTTACTATATTACGATATTGGTCATATACCACATGTCAGACTCAATACAAACTCAAGGACTGAAGGATTTATCATCAGTGGAGATAGACACTGTTAAGACTGCGAGAGTCCAACTCCCAAAATTTAGTAGTAGTGACCCCGAGTTATGGTTTGCTCAACCAAGGCATTATTTTGCGAGACAATTTCAAATCTGAAGGAATTCGCTATACAAACTTATTTTCTTTCCTCTCTCCTTCATTCGACAAAGAAGTCCACCATCAACAAAACCATTCACCATCTTAAAATGAGAGATAATGAACCGTCTATCATTATCAGAAGGCCAAAGAACTCAAAGGCTTTTCCAAGGATAAACATTAGATGATAGGTCGTCAAAAAAACTCAATGTCACCGCCAAGTTTTAGTAATCGGCAACAAATTGGTTGAAGCAGTCCTAAAACAAGGATGGATACAGGCTCTCTCATGCTGGGGGTAACATTGTTTGGAAGCACAAAACCCTGACATTTCTTTATCCCATTTGGTGCGTATGGCAGATAAAATAATAGAAAGAGATCCTCCAACTGGATCACACACGATAAATCACTCACAAAAACAACCATCAAAAGACACAGTCATAGAAGAACTCATTGCAAACGTTTAAATTCTCACCTCGACTGTCGCCAGAATGCAAATGGGTAATGGAAACAGGAGCAGCTCACTACAACCACAAGGATTCAAGTCACAGAACAGGTCGCAAACGTTTAGACATTCTGGGCAGTTCTGTTGGAATCAATCCAACAAAGTGTAATCAATCAGACTCCCAAGAATATGGTAGAACGAATAACCTATCCCCAGATAGCGAAGAATTAGGAGGGGTGCCTAAACAGTCGCTTGTTTTATGTCAGTGACAGAAATTTGGACTTAAATGTTTGAGTGGATATTGACGCTGTTTTCAGTATCATTCCTCGGAACAAAACTGAGCGGGATCGAAAAACATCCTTAGTTAAACTTCAAACTGCCAACAAATCTAAAATCTTGATGCCTAAACAGAATACGTTGACACTAGATTTGGGGTTCAAGAGGCAATTCCCATGGATTTTCATCGTGGCCGATTTAGACCTAGAAATACTGGTAATGCAATTTTTAGAGATATGAATTTCTTGTCTATACTAAAAGCGACATTTAACACTGAAAAAAACTTTGGATTACACAAAAGGTAAAGAAAGTCACATCACATCTCCAAACGTGATACAAACACCACCAGTGACAACGATAAAATTCTCGGATATACCCACGTACTTTCCTAAACTACCCAAAAAATCGAATCCTCAGCCTTTCAAAAGTGAACGAAAGGCGAGTAATACAATCAAAACCGAAGGTGCATATGTGTTTGCCAGACCCAAGAGACTATCATCAGATAAGCCTAAAATCGTCAGAGCTGAACTCAATTATATTCTGGATTGGATATTATCCACCCTTCTTATAGCCAATGGGCATCCGTTTAACACACGGTTCCAAACAAAAGTAAAGACGATTGGCGACCGTCTGTGGATTACTGTTTTTTCAACCATCAAACAGTATCAGATACATACCCAATACCTCACATTCAAGATTTTACAAACGGATGGCAATGAATGAACATATGTAGCGAAATCAACTTGATCAGAGCGTATCACAATATCCCAGTAGCGCAAGAAAAACATCCCTTAGATAGATAATACAGTAGTTTCTGGACTGTTCGAGTTTGTGCGTATGCCATTCGGTCTGAGCAAAACGTCACAAACATTTCAAAGTTTTATGGCTAACCTACTTCGGGGCACGCCATTTGTACAAGGGTATATAGATGATCTATTAATTGACAGGCCGGATTAAAAATCATACTATTAACATATGTGTGCACTTTTAAAACGGCTGGATGCGAATAGAATGAACATACATAAAAAAGTATGTTTTTAGAGTTCAAACTTTGAAATTTCTTGGATATTCAATAAGTCCAGAAGGAATTACACGGATAGAATAAGTGGACATTAGCAGACAAATCCTCACACTAAGCCCTCTAACACAACACAGAAGTTCACTAGATTTTATTAAATTTTACCGACGATTCATACCTAGTTGTGCACTGGTGATGCAAATTTTGAAGGACTCCTCTAATCTGAACTATCATATTGACTACCTAAAATAGTATTTAACATAGTTCAGGCAGCAAAGTCACCGCATCGAAGTATTGAAGTACTGCTCCGGTATAATGACTTTAGTAATACGTGTTTGATTCTCACGAAGCGGGATCGTAGATGCGCACTGCTAGGACGAAAAGGCCGTTCAGTGCTTTCAGGTTTCCTATGGTGGTCTAGCTTTAAATGACCCATAAATTCAACTATAGCGATACGTATCTGTTAGTCAAACAAGCATTCAAAATAAAAACCCTGGATCCTGATACTAAAATTAGCGATAAGTGAACATCTATCTCAGGGTCACAATTCGTAATATAATAAGGTAGGTCGGATTAGACAATGCCACAAACTTATGGTATTTTCGAACCACCTAAAACAACAATATCCACTAGGTGCTTCCCAATTAACACTGCAAATAGTTACTCATATTGGTTTCTGGATATCGTCACAAAACATTATCATGACTTGACGATTACGTAATATGGCTAATAAAATTGATGAAACTTAACAAACTCGGTCGACAAATGAACTTATAGCATCACTAAATAGTTCTGTTTTCTCGTGGTTATCCTCATTTATTATAGGTGATTTCGGCATGCACTTCCGTCACTTATTCGTTTCTCTCTCTCTCTCTGAGTGTCAAATGAGCAGCACTCAATGTTTGTCATCTTTTAAAGGTCAATTTAACAGAAGGCGTCGTACTTTATCGTGTCCCCTACATTTGTGACGCATATGTTTTGTCGATTTCAACACCCTATGATCACTGAAATTCATACAAATCGATCTCTATATTATCCAAAACTCGTTACGTGAAACTGGTTTGTATGCATTGTCAACCGGTATGCATGAATATAAATAATTGGCTGAGCGCAAACAAGAACACTGAGTCTAGAGTATGCCCCTTACGCATGCACAAACGTTCAACGAATTACCATCAGCTATCTGTACGAAATTCACATAATCAATATTTTTAAGTAATAAACGAATTTAGGATACCTGTTCATATGTCAGTTGGATTACTAAATCCTATAACGGTTAAGCAATAAAGAGGTCGAGATAATCTTACCGTAACAAAAAAAGCAGTATTGAACTTAACAAACTAGATGAAACACTCGTTCGAATTCTTCCTCTCTACGGCTATACATTATTCCGTCAGTTAGCCAACTAATGCTGACGCAAATAAAAATCAACTCATGTAGGTAGAATACCGAAGAACACTAACTTTTTAATTTACACCGAAGATAATACAAATAACAATATTTATGCAATACTGATTGTTTTTCCATTTTGGAGTACAAAATAAACTGCCGACAAGTTACGCTATTAACCATCGGCTATTACTACTCATCTTAATAATAATATATTTGTTCAAAGGCAAGTACATGCCATTTTTACAAACATGATCCATAAATTACATTCGTTGGCTCATAGCATGCTTCTCAAGTAGTCGTTAAATAAATGAAATCAATAAAATTGAATAACTTACATTCGTGCAGATGTCTTCGAGTGTTAATGATTGGGTTTATGATTCAGTATTACATTGAGTACAGTCTCCAACTATTTTCCAAAGTGGTATCGCGTTCACGCTGCACACCAGTTCCAAACTCGACATGGTCGTGCTAACTATTCACACGATACAACTTTTTAGGTTTATAGTTGTTATAAAGTAGACTTGTGGAGCGCTTGGTGTGAACCATGACTTTGAGGAGACGCGTAGGTCAAGTTTCATCCAGACTTCAGAAGTTCCGTCGCTGTGCCCTCAGAGAAAGATCCTGAAGAAAGAAGAAAGAAAAACTGAAGAGCTGTGATCTCAGAGCAAAATTTTGAAAAAAAGCAAAGCATGGGAGCAACAAGGCACTTGGATGTGAACGTTAAACACTACTTGACATTTTTCAATGGAACACACAGGTGCATGATAAATTAGATTACATTCATATTTGCTCTTGTTGCTAGAATGAATTGTGACCTTAGGCTGAACAGGAGAGAATGTAAGTGTTCAGTGTTATACAATGCCTTTACATGTAATACCTCTATCGTCGAGAGATATATAATTATTCGAATCAGAATTCGGAAATAAGGGAGTTCGAAGATGGATTTGGAAGGCTATCGATATGTCGAGAAGCGTTTGG